ATTTCAGAGGTATACATCAAGAAAACAATATTAGCTTTTATTTCTTAACTTGTTTTATAGAGAAGCATTTCACAATTCTTTAGATAATAAAAATTAAAAAAAAAAACTCATTTAGCTTTAACTGGGATGAAGTTGAAATCAACAAAGCAACTGAAAGTGAATGACTTAGAATAACATGCTATTGCAGACAGACTTAGGTGCAAGCTTTACTATGCAGTTTAAACAAAGGAGTGTGCTATTTGTCCAGGATTAAAGTATCTGAAATGCACTCTCTTGGCCTCTTGTCTAGTAGAAATTAAAATGACGCATGTGTTTAACCAAATAAGAGAGAGACACATAAGCACGAAGTTTTCACTTAATTGAACAGGTAATACAATCTTGAATAATCATAAGAAGCATTGTCAACTAGTGCATTTAAAGAATGCACACCACTAATAAATAAACAAGAAGACCATATATACAGTTGCTGTTGACAGTTATTGACTTTTCATAATAAGAAAAAGTCACGGAGTCCCATCCTTTGTTGAGGGAAACCAGGTGGACTTTGCAAGGACCTGTTTACTGCAACCACAACAGCATGCTGCTGGTATACAAAAAGAGAATGTAGATGGTCTTTAGATAAAAGCATGATCATAACACTAAGCAGAAAAAAAAACAAACATAAAGAAATTTGAGCATATGTTTTCAATATAAATATTATAGTTTTATAGAGATGTCCAAATCAATATTTGCTACACTTTGTTTAGTTACTTGACAAGAGAACACCATGTGTTCAACTGAATGCTGAACAGAATTTTGTATTTATAATATTTGATTTATTATGACAGATTCGTTAGAGTGAGTTTTTTCAGGTTCTTTGTACTTTTTCCAATAAAATGGATAGAATATCTTTCAAAATAAACAGGAAAAAGGTTTTCCATTTGTATTGTGTCCTGTGAAGGAGGAGCTATGCAAAAATCTTTTTTGAAGAATCTATTCACAATGGATCTGTTTTTATTTACTGCACTATTTATGTGGATTAAGTGTATGTTATCAATTATGTCATGTCAGAATTTCAGATGTTTTATTTTTTGTTTATTTCATTTTTTTTCTTCCTCAAACTGTATGTACCTGTAGTAGCTTTGGACCTTTTGATGCCATTTTTGTTTGTTATAAGAAGCTAGTGTATTTTTAGCAAATGTATCATTATGTCAATACTTGAGGTAGCGTAGAGTTTTCAACTGTAGAATCAAAGTTGAAACCAACTGTGTAGAACTGCAACAATTTTTCATATTTGGTCACTGTAATTAAGTTTGAGAATCATAAGCACATAGAAGCTTTTGATTCTTTGTAAAAGTTTCTTTTTGCAGCATCACAGTCATTTAATATGGTTTCCCATTGGTATATTACTCTGATACATGATATGAATGACAACTATTACTTAACAGAAACCCTAGTCCTCCTGAACACTTATCAGCAACAATGTCTAAATTCCTGGGTTTCAGTTTTGGAAGGGAATTTCTAAATCCTTTCTTTATAGAATGACCAAAAAGAAATCAGAATAGTTTAGGTGAATACTGTAATACTTTTGAGGGGTTTAATAAACGGAAGCTTAGTGCAGGGATTAGACATTTTTGTTGACCCAAAATTATTAATACAATGTTTCCTACCAATGAACTGTAGCTGAAAGCAAAAGATAGTCGGTATGTTGGCTTTATTTGAAGCTTTACTCTTAGTGCATGGAAAAAAAATGATGGTACATAGGAAGGGAATGGTTATTAGAGAAACAGAGGAAGTTGTAGATTTCAAACCATATACAGGACAGATTGGAACAATATACGCTCTCCAGGTTTTCTTAAGTGATGTACTTAGTAACTGTCTCTGGGCAAGTAGGAAATCTGTTATTGATTTCTTCTACTTCTAAGCAAAAATGTGATTTATGTTAAAAAGAGATATTTTTTTTTTTTTGTGGGAATTTTCAACCAAAACTTAATGCAAGTATCTCATCAGAACATTGTTTAAAAGCCAGGAGATTTTATTGCAATCATTTCTTAGGACTATGTAAGATCAGCAAAGAAGAGAAAAAGAGGTAATGTCCAGCCCCAAGTCAGAACACTAGAATGAAACTATTGTGCAAGTGCCTTTGGACACTTCCAGAGAATCAGTCCTGATGCTCAAATGCAAGAGTATTTAACATCCAAATGTGTTCTTTTAACTGGAGCAGATTGCTGTGAAAACCTACTGAATTAGAATCATAACAGGGTGGAATTATTGTACCAAATGCATCTGCCTTTAGTGGGAGTTTTTTGAAGAAAAAAACCTCTGGAGGTTTTTTCCCGACCTGATTTATCCTGTAATCATGAAAATTTCTTCTGCAACAGAGTAATTTGGGTTGCACGCTCTATCTGGTTTGTAGTTTTTCTCTTCAGTTTACCCCTATTTTTAAAATATGGACTCTTAGTGACAGGAAAGAACCCATATGAAGTGAAATTCCACAGGAACAAAGTAAATTTTCTGCACAGGAATGCAGTATAGCACAGGAGCATTCAGGAAGAGACCCTGTCAAAGCTAACAGCACAGGATCTATACAAAACAGTTGCCTACAGGAAGAAATTATTTCTGTTATTAAAAATAATGCATCAACTATGCAAATGACAAGTTCAATTCCTTAATTAGTAACAGATGGAAACATTTTAAGAAAATAATTCCCATAGTTTAAATTAAGGCTTCCTGAAAAAACATATACAGACAGTATGAGGAATACAAATGAATATATTTAGCTTTTATTTTTCGTTTTCTTGAGTCTTTGCAGATTTTGATGCTAGATGACTTTACACTCAAGAAAGTGCTGAATACCACTAGACAGCTAGAAATTCCCAATATGTTGGCATGATGTGGTGTATCAAACACATTCTGTTCAGGATAAATCTAGTAAGCTACTCAGGTTTTAAACGTCTCTTCAGAATCTGACATTTCTCGAGGTTTTTCATTTACATTGGTATATTGGATGGAGATTCATCCATTTGGAGTGGAGTGAATCCTAGTGCTTAAATTTGTGTTTTACCCTTCTGTGTTGAAGCTTATTATCCAGACCTAATTGTGTGTGGAATATCACGTGCACACACTGTGCTGGCAGCTCAGGCAGTTGACCGCTAGGGAAACTGAGGAAGATTGCTTCTAAAGAGGGGAATATAGGCATGGTGTTATCCAGTACGGAGACTGCTGCAAGTGCTGCAAGCTTGCAGAGATCCCAGAGAAAACCTCCTTAAGGACCACTTGCACTAAAAAAGGATGAGCTAATTCATAGTATTGACTCCTATGATGCATACAAAACAGCATGATCAGAGTCTCCTATAAATATATATTCCTTGACTGTTAAGAAGAATGAAGCAATTGAAATTTTTGTTACTGTTATTTCTAAAATTACATCAGAGTCCTGGTCATGTCACTGAGGACTCATGCAAAAGGAGCGTTTGAGTTTATCAATTTTTTAAATAATGCTTTTTATAAAAAATGGTAATAATAGGTCAATGTAATGAAGTGTGCTGCACTGGTATAATAGTTTATTTTGTTTTGATTTTCTGTGAACATATGAGCCAATCCAAAAGTAACAGTACACAAAGGTGGTATTATTCATTGCATGATGGTGATATTACTCACTGCAACATGCATATTACTGATTTATTCTTTGTTCTGCATAATTAGCCTTTTTTTCAATTATTTTTATGCACTTTTCACACACATTTCATCAAGCATCAAACTATAAAGCAAGAAGACTCATATTATAGCCCATTACACAAGTGATCGTTGCTGCCATCTCTTACTTGCTGTTTCCACCCAATGAGGTTTTTTGCATTACTGGGTTTTCCACTGAACAATTACGAAGTAGGTGAGATTTGGATGGTCTAGTCCTTAACCTTTGCTTTACATTTGGCAACTCGAGTGTCAAATAAGTGTGAAATTTTGTGTCTAGCATTTGTGCTTGGACCATATGGCTGTAATGAAGTTGACTTTGTTAGTTCAAGAAATGTATTTATACCACCCTGTCCCTCTTCATGACTTCTGTGAGCAGCTTGGTAATTGGAAGTGTTAGCAATAGGCATATCAAAATTGCCATATTTCTTCAATCCATGGCAGTAAGGAAAGCTGGAGTTGAGTTTATTCCATGAAGGAAATTGTGATACAATGTAGGATATTCTAAGCACAGTAGACTTTGCTTTACAATAATAAAGGAGCAAAGACCCCTTAAGTCAAGAAGTGCCATTTCCTAGGCCTTTTCTTCAGCCTCTCGGAATTAAAGATGTAGAATTCAAGAATGTGTATGTAAGTTTAGTGCTTCTATCTTGCACGGTCAGATATATCTAATAATGGAATATGGAGCAGCAGAAACATTTGTGATACCACAGTCTGTGCAAACGTCAATTTTCTATTGCAATGGTGCAATAAATAGTGGTTTCTTATTCTGAAGTACTCTCCTTATAGGAGTCACGTTAGGAGAAAGTTTTCTTTTTTTTACTATGTATTGTGTATAATTGACAAAATTTGCACTGCCTTCATTGCACAAGTGTCTGCTTTCAACCATGGAAAAATATTGAAGCACTTTAGGGAGATTTGCTGCCTCGTTATGTCATAAAACAAAAATTTAAACAGTAAACCTCAGTATAGGTTGTGAAGATGTGGAGAAAAATGTGTAAAATAGAGAAATGTTACCTTGAAAGGGACTGGTTAATATAGTGTATAAACATACATAAATGATGCCACTTATTCAATATGCAGTACAACTTGGCCAAATGGTTTGCTAATAGTAGTGTTTGCTACTGACAGTGTATATGTATTTGCAATTGCAAAGTACCTTTTGGAACTGATGTCTTCCTTCTCCAACATCATGGAATAGGACCTAGAGAAAGATCAAGTAGACACTAACGCTCTTTTTTGGCCGATAAGCTATCATTTCCTTCTTTACTTTCTTGTTTGCTCTTTTTACCTTCTTCACAAGATTAACTCTCATTTTTCTGTAACAGGCACATAGTTGTCTGTGGTCACATAACACTTGAAAGTGTGTCCAACTTCCTAAAGGACTTCCTGCACAAGGATAGGGATGATGTCAACGTAGAAATCGTCTTTCTGCATAAGTGAGTAGTCTTTCAAGATCACTCCTATCTGTTACTAAAGCATTAAACTGTGTCTTTTTTGAAGGAGATCAAAGATCAAGATCAAAATAACCATAAAATTAATGTTTACGATTTATTTTGATAACAACAAATTTTTTAAAATGTTTTCTTTTTTTTTGTTTGGTTGTTTGGTTTTTTTTTAATAACCCATTACTAAGTATAGGTTTTTCAAGCAGACAGACTTGAAAACAAATCATGTTAATTTTGAGTTGCATAGCTGAACACATAGTTGAAGAGGGAATGGAATTATTAAATTTAAAAATTAAAATACTAGTAAATACTTGTGAGATTTATGTTTAATGGAAGATATTTCTAGTTAAATGCTGAAAACTGGTAAAATACTGTATGTCATATGAACTTGTGCTGTCTGAAAACATATTTTCACCTTTGATCTCATTAGGAAAAAACACTTTGTTCATGTTGCAGACTATTTCAAAAAAGAAAAATATAGGTGCAGGTGCAGTTTTAATATAAATGAGATAAATTACTTTAGAGACAGTGAAGACAGAAAAGAAGCTCTTGTCGTGGTGATAATTAGTAATGCTCTTTTACCCATGTAAAACATAGCTACACACACAATCTCTTGCATTTTTCTGATGTGGGATTAAGAGGGGTCCCTTTAAGTGGCTGCTGTTTGTTGCAGGCACAGCATTACGTGTTATACATCATCAAATAAATGTGCCCTTGGAAGAGGCTTCTAGAAATAGCCATGTGCTAGAGAGGGAGACAGCAAGAGAAGTTTCCTCATCTGTTTAGAAGTGTTGCAAGCTATGAATGAATAATATTTGGGCATTTAGCAGCAAGTTCTGCACTTTTCTTCTTGTCAAAGAGAATTCTTAAAAACGTAGATGACTCAACAAAGGAAACTGAAAGCAGGAATCAGCAGCATTTGCACAATTTCTGTCTAGTCCTTTCAAATTGAACTAATGATAGTATCCTAAATTAGCTACATTGTTTGCTTGTTTACTCTCTAAGCAATAACAAGAATTTACTGTCAGAGGAAAGTGAAGATCGAGATTTCCACAGTGCAAATGGATGGTGGTAGGAATCAGGAAACTGCATATGCACATGAAGGGAGTTTAGCTACTTGTTTATTGTTTTATAAATGAAGGGAATGGGGCAGATATGTAAACTGACTTCTCTTTTGTTCTTGTGTTTTTCTCCTCTTCCCAATGCAGTATCTCCCCTAACCTTGAGCTGGAAGCTCTTTTTAAACGACACTTCACTCAGGTGGAATTTTATCAGGGTTCAGTTCTTAATCCCCATGACCTGGCAAGAGTGAAGGTAACAGCTCTGTTGTTCTGTTCTCCTGTCAAATGACTTTTTTTAAAGTACTCATTGCTGCTCTTAACCAGCAGATTGATTTGCCATCTCTATTATCTTGCCTAATAAATCATAATATTTATCCTTATAAGCTTTGTTTTTCCTATCTTTACATTTTCAAAGCTACAGTTACAATGTGACTTAAATACATTCTCTGCTGTTCCATTGAACTCTTTATTAATTTTTCACTGGGACTTAGTTCAAGAGTCTATTTTACAATAATGTTTGATATAATAGAACATTGTCTTACAGTAATTGCTTGAAATATTATTTTCTTGTCTTCATCAGCATTATTAGAAAATTTTTCACCTGTCAAACCCTTTTTCTACTATCTAGAATCCTGGAAAAAAAAGTACACGTTAAGATTTTTTTGTAGCTAAAATGACATACTTTTATTATCTAGAATTTTTAATGATAAATTATTTTGTACTCTTAAGGCAAAGTATGAAGTTGAAATTAAAAAAAGAATAATTTTTTTTTAAGTCAATTAAAAAAGAAAGTTGAATGTAAACTGGCTACTTAAACCAAGAATACAAGGATATTTTGATGAAATATTAAGACTTTCTGGAGTATTAATAATTTCTTTTGTTCGCTTTGACTGCAGAAATTGCTTAACCTTTTTTTTCCCAAAAAACCCACACTATTTTAGTTCATCAGAACAAAATGTTCTAATTGTGACCATCAAATGATGTGTTTGTATTTAGTCTTCTGTATTCCACCCTTCTTTGTGGTAGTATTTTGTTGTATACACAGAAGAAATATTCTTGTCATCTGCCTTGTCTTAAATATAGCTGAGGTTTGTGTGGACATAGATGACCTGTGAACAAATGAAGTCTCATGCTTTCTAAAACTGGTGCTCAGATTCTAAATCATCAGCTTCAGCCACCTCTTCCTGTCTCCTAATAGGAAAGTATTTAAATTCCCAAGCAAAACTGCAGGACTTCTGGGAGCATTTTACTGATGCAACAGGAACTTCTGACAGATTTGGGGTTTAATTTTCAGTATCTGATTAGAAAAGATATACCTGTAAACTCCTTCATGCCTTAGCTGATACTAAATAAGTCACTAATGGCATGACCTGATCTGAGCATCATAAGCAAGTTACAAGAAGGTGCTGCGTGTATATGGGAGCTATTATCATCACTCACATGAACTCACCTTAGCCTTTTAACATTTTTTTTGTTTTAAAAACTGACATTCACACTCATGATGGCCGTGCAGGATTTCCCAAAACTTTATGACAAAAGAGGAGCTGGAAAAAGATAGTTATTTACATTTGCTTTTTCTTTGGTGTCTCAGATAGAGTCAGCAGATGCGTGCCTAATCCTTGCCAATAAATACTGCGCTGACCCAGATGCTGAAGATGCCTCCAATATTATGAGGTAACCTCATTAATTTTTAATAGTTTTTTTGTGCTTAACTCTGGTTAGTTAACTTCTGGTGTCCAGATAGGCTGTCACCACACTCATCGGGGTTGTTCATCTTTTGCACTTAAAGAACTTCACAGGATTATTTTTTTTTTAGGGGACAGATTATAAGATTGTCTCAAAAGTTCACAGATGAGGATTCCCTAAATTCTTGCCTAAATTATTTTTGTTTAGCTGCTTTAGAAAGAGTGTGTCAGAAGAGTCACTTGAAGCTCAGGCTTTGGTACTCTTCAGTCATTTTGCAGGACCTAGGATTTTAAGTATTTGTAGTATAACGCAAATGAGAGGAAGGGAAACACAGTTATGCTGTTGCAACAAAATGTTGTGTGAGTGTATGTGCTGCGTGGGCTGCTGTTAATAACAGAACAGAAGGATCCTTAATCAGCTCATACCTCATTGCCCCTTGGTATATCTGCTTCTACAAGTAGTTAACGCTGCTTGAGGAAAAGCAAGCTATACTCTTCATCATGGTAATGGTCTTCTATTTCCATCCTCCTTTTTTACACTGAAGACCAAACATTGCTTATTTTGACTGATGGGGCACTTACCACATTAAGGACCACCAGATCTTGTTCTGCTTTCCTCCTTATATTCTCTGAAGAAAGAAGATGAGCGAGTCAGTCAGTATTTGGCAGCTGAAGTCACAACAAAGCTAAACCATTCAAGTTTTTTTATGTATTGCTTATGCAACCCTAGCTTTAATGAGACCAGTTTCTTTTTTATAACATTAAAATGCAAATTATTTGTTTAATAATCCTTTTAGGTAGAATTGGCCAGTGTTCCAAAACAATTTTACTGTCCTATCAGATGTTTTCATACTATGAATTGAAGGAAGGGGAGAAATTAGAAAAAAAATAATAGTTATTTCTCTGGAAGACATTCACTGGATACAAGAGATCTGGTTGTGGCAGGTGCAAAGCTTAAATATGCCTGATTTCATTTTCCAAACATGCTTTTGAATTTCAATGAAAGAACTGTTATTTTGATATTAATTGCATAAACACATTAGTGCTTTCTTGATAGATTTGATACATTTAATGTCATACGATGCAAAAGGGTGGAATTCTCTAGTGTTTTCTCACATTTAAATGAATATAATTCAACAAAATACAGTGTTTAATTAAATAATTCAATAAAAAATGGAAAATTAGAAGGAATACTTGTTTTCTCCTAACAAAAGATGATGTAAATTAAAAATATCACATACAGCTTTTTCAGTCTGTTTCATCCTCTAGCTTTGATATGCTTTAAAGCACAAGCCAGACCAGCAGTTTGCAAAATACTTCCTACAAAACACCAGTGTAAGCAGTTATGGCATTCAGAGTCTTATTATGACTCCATAATAATTCAGATTTTTTTCATCTTGATTGCTTTATCTTGGTTTTTTTACCCTTAATTTATATATACAGAACTGATTTATTTGGCCTGTTTCTCTCTTTAATTTCGCTCAGTACTTTTTACATTTTTCAAGTGTATTTCCTCTTTTCGTAACATGTTTTGAATCCACCTGGACACTTTTCTTTCAAACCACTTCTAATCTGTACAAAGCTGAGTATATCTTAGGCTCATTAAATAATTAAGAATGTAGTCAAGCTGCAGATTATTAAAGTAGCCCGACATTTTATGAAGTCAGAGTTCAGGTATCACTTTCAGTATTGAGCTTTGAAATAATCCATAAAAATTAGGACATTTGCATGTGGATTTATGTCGAACAAAATCATTTTTTGAAGAGTTTAAATATGATGAATATATAGTAGCTATTTATAAATAATGTGTGGTGGGGCAAAAAGAAAGGGATTCTTTTCAGACATTTGTCATTGCAAAACTCGACCAAATATATTGATTCAAAGACATGAAGATAATAATTGAAGATGACATAGCAATTGCAAGTGTATTATTTGCTTAACAAAATGAGAACAGTATCTGAACAGAGCTGCTAAAACAAGGATGTTTCTGCAAATTTCAGAAGAGTAAACCACTCAACTGAATAATTCCTGAAGTTTGATGTTCTGTAGTATTAACTGATGGTTATCAACTGAATTTGACGAGATGTAATAGGTGCTTTATATAAAGTATCTACATGGTATGCTTTACAGCCAGATGAATAAGAAAGTACAGATTTAATTGTGGGACTTGACAACACAGTAAAGATTTTGGAATACGTTATCCAAATATCCAACTAGCTAAAAGCTATTTATTTTTTCTTTTGTTTTTCTTAGAGTTATTTCAATAAAGAATTACCACCCGAAGATAAGAATTATCACTCAGATGTTGCAGTATCACAATAAGGTAATGTGACAACTAGCAGTGTCTCTCCCCAGATTTTTTTTCTTCATTGCATTCACTCATAGAGTTTTTCTACCTCCACTAGTAGTAAGCATTTTTCTTTCCAAACATAAATGTCCCTGTAAGCCTTGTCGTGTAACCACAGTACAAGGTAATTCAGTTTTATCTATATATGAAAAGGATCTTATCAAAATCGTCTGACAAATATTAATTGCCCAGGGTCTAATTCTCAAAGCTACAGTGTCCATAGTTGCTATTGATTCCAGTTAAGCTTTTAACCACTCCACTTCTATCAGTTTTGCTCATCTTATTACCCTAGAACTACCCAAGATGAATTGGTGGCCTCTTGGCAAGTAATCTAAAGTCAGTTCTTTGTGTACTTATAAAAACCCAACATTGTTTTATTGGAGAATTATAGTGATTTTGTGTTTCTTGGATGACAATGTAGACCTGAAAATTGCCGGCTGACATGTACAAAGTAAATAAAATTTAGTGTTCTTTTCATATGAATCACAATTTAGTTCCTAAAAGATCATGGAGATCAAAATTTTAAATCCACTTTGGAAAGAAATTTGGCAATTTTTTCATGGCAAGTCTGTGGCCTTTAAGTGCAGTGAAGTCAATTCTTTCAATCCTGAGATGAGGAAGTCCATAAACTGCTGATAAATAGGGTTAGAAAGAATGTATCGAAGGACAGACTACTCATATATGAGCTTCTTCTCTTATCATTTATAAAAGCATCAACCACTGCTCAGTGTTGGAGAAAAAGCTTGACAGTGTAGACCCTCCTTCAGTGAAATAAAAGAATCCTGGTACTCAGAAGATGTGAATGCTGACAGCTCCTTATACTTGTAACCTTTGGCTAGAACTAGAGCAGTTACTGTTGCTTATGATGTCCTCTTCTGTATGTGAATGGAAGGAGCTGTGTTTTTATAGAATAAAACCAAGGTGTTTCTGTGCTTTAAACAGGCTCACAGGTGAAGATCTTTCAAATACTGCATTTTTTCTTTGTATTTCCAGTGAATATGTCTTCAAGAACAGCTTTTATCAAAGTGCTGAGCTGTAATATTAACTTCTGAATGGAAACAAGCATAAAGGCTTCTGTATTTCCTTATGTTTATGCATTTTTATAAGGCAGATGAAGAAGATAATCCAATAGTGTTTTACCAACAACTGAACAATTTTAATACCTATTTAACTTAGCAATGTCAACAGTCGTGGTCTGTCTTGATCTGCTGTTTTCCTTATTCTGTTGTTATATTTAGCAGTCTTAGGAAAAAGTTTGCATTTTCACTGCCAGGTGCTGTCCTTCAGGATGGAAGAAATTAAATAGAAAAAACAGAAGATGTTGTATACCTTTTTAAATGACATTGTCTTATAAAGGTTGCAGCTTCACACAAGTTGTAATCTAAGTTATATTAGATTCCTGTATATTATGTGTGTGCCTTATGAGTCAGAGAGTAGCTTGAAGTGCCCTAAAAGGAATACAGAGAAGGGAAGAAAAACTTGAGAACGTTCTGTGGTTCATTCAGATGCGAGTACTTGGAGTGCTTCTGCCTACTCAGAAAAAGTCAAGACAAAGGAAAAAAAAAAACACAACAATAAATTAATTCACTGCTATCTCCTTCAATACTGTACTGCATTTGAGGAAGTATTTCTGCTTCTTCACCAGTGAGGTTTTGCTTGATTGTTTGTTTGTTTTCCAGGCACATCTGCTAAATATCCCAAGCTGGAACTGGAAAGAAGGGGATGATGCAATCTGTCTTGCAGAGCTCAAGCTGGGATTCATAGCCCAGAGCTGCCTGGCACCAGGCCTTTCAACAATGTTAGCCAACCTCTTCTCTATGAGGTCATTCATAAAGGTAATGTCTTGTCCCATTAGAAAGTGTTAGTCCACAATTCAGTTTGTCAGAGAGCTCAGTAGAGAACATGGCTCAAATATGAAACAGATAGGAACACACTAATAGATTTTGTAAGACAAAAAAAACCCAAACCAGCACACTTACATACGAAAGTTCTCTGCTGCAAATTGGGCAATGAGCCCAGTTCTGTCAAGTTGTGTTTTTATTTTTATTCAGCAAGTGTTTGGCTTTTAAATGATTGTTCAAAGCATAATGCATTTCAAGGGAGAGATTTCCAGTGTTTTGCGTTTTGATGTAGAAAAAACACATATTTATCTATGGGAAAAGCCCCTGCTGCTAAAACAAGAAGTATTACTTATATATGTCCCATATAGCAACAAAGTGTCCAGGAAAAAGGACTGATCATTTTGATCTTTTACATCAAGTGGCTAGTGGACCTCTGACTGTGACAGTAAATAAGGAACATGTGTTGGAACTGAAGCCTGAAATTCCTACATCATTCATATATTTGTTTCTCCTCATTCAAAGATCTCTCTTGGACTTCCATGGCAAAATTTTAACCCAGTTATTCCTAGACTTCTGTAGAAACTGTAGTAGTTCACTGGCCTTGATTGCAGCAATCAGTGCTAACTTCCTCTCATCTTTCTGGGTCACTGATTCCAAACATAAAGAATGGTCTTTTTCCAATCCCAAAAGCATTATTAATGGGGTAGAAAACATTGGAGTACAACACAGGCCATGGTCCACTTCAAATCCATTGTGCAAATAAGCAAAAAAAAAAAGAGCCTAATGTCCTCAGATGAGAAAGCCAGGACTGTTCTCATGGAGGTACACATATCAGTGCAGGACAGCAAGTTGTTATTTACTTCTTATGAACTCCTGAAATTCTTAAGATATCCTTTGGAGACCTCAAAAAAATTAGAGACAGTAGACTCCTGTCTGTCAAAAATAATCTAGACTCTTACATGGAATAAAAAAATTTCCAATTTTCAATGTGGAAACAAATTCAGACTCTGTGCTTTACTATCTGCAGTGGTGATGTTTGCATCATTGTTAATGTTCTGGAAAAAAAAACAAACCTGAACAACTTACTCTTGCGATCAGAAGTAGCTCTGAAACTTTTGTTCAGCTTCTGTCTTTCCAAAATCAGAAGGGTTCAGTTTTGTCTCACAGAGATCCAAATATATGCATATTTGCAGAAGCCTCAGTCTTAATGAAAGTTATTTTAATACTGAATTTAAAATTGCAGTGAGAAAATTGAGGAATTCAGAAAGTGGGAAAATGTACAAATATCTGACTATGTGGAAATTGTAAAAAGACACATTTACGGCCACAATTTATAGATAAATTTGTAGATAAAACATCTGCAAAAGTAAAAAAATGCAAATGTAAAGGTATCATATTTCCTGAAAATATGTCTAACCACTTACCTGTCTTCGATCCTATGTTTTCTCATTTTAAAATATATTTTTAGAATTATTTCAGTACAGTGACCAGTTGTACTATCTCACTGATTAACAGTTTTAAGCTGAAGGATCAGCTTTGTAAGGCACTACTCAGATTTCATCTGAGTATTTCTAAATATACAGAATGAGCATAAATATAGCAGTGAACCTGATTTGGAGGAAGCTATTGATGTTGGTTTTGCTCTTCTATCTCTGATTATATACAGTTGCAAACAGAATAGGATGCAGACATACCTTAGCTTGTATTACTTCAGATGTCACCTCCAAATTGCACTGAGAGAAAAAATACTGTCATATAGAGCACTGGGAGAATGCAAGACTTGTTAGTACTAGTTAAAAAGATGTTTACCGCTTAACTAAGAATGAATTTTCCAAGCGAGTAAAATGCAGATCATAATTTCCAAAGATCTCTCAGTGTATTAAAATGTAAAGCAAAGTAAGTGTACAAGTACTGACACATATTCTTTCATGACAATATAACTCAGTTTGCAACAACAAAAGGTTTATTTAGCTGAAAAGATGTTCTTTCTCCAAGCTTCTCACTCTTAAAACTGTACTTGAAAGAGAAAACTTCTACTTAGTGGTGGCTGTGAATCAACACTCTATTGCAGGAGAGCAGCTACATTGACTGGAATTGTTCAAGAGGATTCTGTTGAAAAGAAGATAACTCCCACTTCTTTTGATTGACAGCACTGAATTTAAGTACTGTCTGACCTTCATAAATTCCTTGGGCAAACATTATTAGTGTAGTCTCCTACAAATTAGGAGATTGCTAGGAAATGGACTGAAACTTCTGTAATTTTTTAAGAAAGCTTGAAATGCATGCTTGTTCCTTATCCTTCATAACATGATTAGAAAGTGATTTTAATGTGCCATAAATGTTTGATCAGTCAAAAAGAAATGATCATGATTGATGGTAACATTACACACATTTAACTAATTGTATTTTACTTGACAGCAAAATTATTTCTATTAACAGTCTGTCCAGTATTAGAGGTAAATAAACTAAGAAACCTCAAAATACTATATTTGTTCCTAATATTTTCCTTTTGGTTTAAGCAATGTAATCTCATATGGAATATTTTATGTTCTCTTTGGTACTGAACAGAAAAAATACGAAAAGCAGCTCAAAAATCAGCTTAAAGCAAGAAAGATTGTACAAAATATGACAGGTTAAGCAAAAAAAAACCCAACAACCTCAAACCCACAATCCAGCTTTACACCTGTAAACTGTATTGCAATAGTACATCTTTATTACTTGCATAGTCTCAGAAAAAGATGGAAATACAGTACTGCAATTTCTATATTGTTTGGATTAGCAAATATATACCAGAAGTCTACCCATATGAAAAACATTACAGAGTAAGTAAACAGAAGAAAAGGCAGAGGTGGTCAAATTTAGTCTCTTTATGCAAGCCAATATGAGTTGGTATTCTCGTGTAAATTAAGAAAGTATGGAATGTGGTTCTTGAGTGTAACTCAAGTCCACAAACAAGTTAGTTTTGTCTTTACTCTGTTGTTAAGGTGGTACACCTCATTCCAGTTCTGAAAAATTATCTAGAGCAATCTCAATTCTCCTTTAAGATCTGGGTTCTTTTGACAGCTGTTGCTCACATCACACATATGCAATGCCCACTTCTCCCACTACACTCCTTTCTTATTCAGACTGAAAGAGAGGCATAATAAAGCCCCACAGATTTACATCAGTCAGGTGATTACTACACTGATGGAACACATCAGCTTGTTTGCTTTTTATTTTAGGCCACCTAGGCAGCCTTGGGTTGTTCTAAAGTATGAGATGAGGGTATGCACAGTGAATTTCTTAAAACGAAGGAGAATTATATAAAGGGAGTGGAGACAGTCTGCAACTTCTCACCTTACTGTGAGGAGACTGCATGATAAACTGATTACCAGATCTTTCTTACAGGATTTAGGTCAAATACTAGCATAGCCTTTGCCAAAGACAATTATTTTCTAAAAGCTGTGCCTGAATATGATGCATAGAGTCTAGGAACTAAAAGCCACTGTGTTTGAAAGCTGTTTGCTATTTACAAATACTGTCGGTCCTTGTGAGTTAGACTTTTGTCTTGGAATGAAGTCTTATCATGAAATGTGTTTTTCAGTCAATCATTTGAATAGAACAATCTGTCTTTTGCATTATGATTGGCTAAAATACTGCCTTGTTTTGTTAATTTTGAAAGTATTAGAAGTAGAGCCTGTATACCTTCAGTTAAAACCTTTCAAGGCCAGCATCTGAAGAATTAAATGTCTTAATATTTCAAGAATCTCTCTCTGCTTTGATCTACTACAAGACTCTACATTAGTATGAACAGTGAAAAAGTATGTATTTCTCTCATTTCGAATTAGAACTAAATTTAATTGACATATTTGATGTTTTTTAAAACATACCCTTTTCATTCAACTTTTAAAAAACATTATTGCATAGAGAAAGAGCTGTGGGAATAGTTGTCTGAAGCTGTAAAACTTTTATACCACTAAGGATATTTGCTAGCTTTGATTTAAGCAGATAATGGTATTGAGTGAAGAGGTAGTTGATAATTTATAATACTTAAGGAAATTAAATTATAATATTTTAAATCTGAAGAGCTTCAATTTTTACTAGAAATGTATGAACTGCCAAGTACATCTCTGTCAGATTTTAATATCCATATCTAAAAACATAATAAAACCAGACACAAAAAGCAGCTTAGAAGAACTGAAAGGGCATTCTTTATAGGTTAACATGAGGAAATGTTTCAAATGTATTTATTTCAATGTACAATTTATTTTCAAGAAATTAGGATTATTCTATGTATACTGTCTTTTAATTCTTATATATGTTAGGAAAAAAACAAAAACGTGGTTTCTCTGTGTAGAAGAGAATTGTAAAATTAAATGTCAGGAATCCCTGAAAGCATTCTGAGCCTAGGGGGTGGCAGGAGTCCCTGTATTGGATAGAAACAACTTGGTAAGGGCTCAAGAAATTTTTGTCAGTGAAGATGTTATTTTCTAGGCATTATTTTGTAAAACATTGAACTACCTGCCCTTCTGGGCATCTTTGAATAGAAAATGTTATATGCATTATATAAAGGAAATAGGTACCAATTTTCATGTTGTTTAGTCAACACTTTTTTTTTTTTTTTTTTTAATATAGAAACATTATTTTGAAAAGACCATTCAGAATTTCTGAACTGCATGCATTTAAAGAACTGCACACTTGGACAAGCATGCTGAAAAAAAAAAAAAAAAAAGTTAGTAATCTTGCTCTATTCTAATGGCCTTTGACAACAGAACTAAAACATTTAAGTGCTATTCTAGAGATATAATTAATAGAATTAACTCATTCTTTTACTGTAATTTTTGTGAGTTTTTTTGTTATTCTGTTAGATAGGTTTGTTTTTCAAAGTAAATGTATGTCTGAAAGAATAATCACAGAGTGGTTTGGATTGGAAGGGACTTTAAGGATCATCTAGTTCCAACCCCCTTGCATGGGCAGGGACACCTCACAGTAGACCAGGTTGCTCAAAGCATCAT